TTTTTTTTTTTTTTGTTGTTGTTGTTGTTGTTTCTGCAGCGTCTGTTGAAGCTTGCAGGAGGAACATTAAGTTTAATGGCTCTGTGGCATGCTCAAAGGTGGAGTCACAACTTGCTGATGCGAGAGTTTACATGCTTACCCACCCGAAAGAATTTGACGTGGTATGCATTTGTAAAATGATCATGCTGATTCAGATCCTTATTTTTTTCCAATGCCCGATCTTAATGGAGACCAAAAAAATTATCTTAGATCTCTATGATGGTTGGAGTGTAAATGTGTACGGAAATATGCAGTTAAATTTGTTACAATTTCACAATCACTGCGCAAGTAAAAAACTGTGGCCGTAACAATTGTTGAATTTCTTTCAATTTATTAGATGATTTATAAATGATAAGATTGTGAACATCGTCTGGGAAGGTTTTGCTAATATATGTTTTGGGTTTCTCTGTCCATCAAATCCTGGCTTTTGAATTTCAACATTCTACCTGAAATATTTATTCTTTTATCTGTACTTACTACTTTATCCTGTGAATTGTTAAATAAATACAGGTTGATCTCGATCCTTACGGTTCACCATCCATTTTCCTGGACTCTGCTGTTCAGTCGGTTGTAGATGGTGGCATGTTAATGTGTACAGCAACTGATATGGCTGTGCTCTGTGGGGGAAATGGCGAGGTTTGCTATTCCAAGTAAGATTTCTTTGTTGTTTTAATATCAGTTTTGTGTATACTTTACAACTAGGAGAAAATGGTGTTTGACGAGATACTTTGTTTTTGAACTAGATACGGGTCTTACCCATTGAGAGGGAAATACTGCCACGAGATGGCGCTAAGGATCCTTCTTGCATGTATTGAAGTAAGTTGGTTGTTGTGAACCTCAACCTAATTAACAAAGAAGTAAAAAGAATAATTGTATATTCTCCTTTAATATTAAATCCATTTTAGCTTTCTTTGTTATCTTGTTGCATTATCCCCTTCTGAAGTTATAAATCCGTTTAAATATGCAGAGCCACGCTAATCGGTACAAACGATACATTGTTCCTGTACTATCTGTTCAAATGGATTTTTATGTACGAGTTTTTGTGCGTATATACACGTGAGTGTTTCTCCTCCAAGTTTCTTAATTTTTTATTTTTTTTCCATGTACAAGTTAGTATGATTAGAACGATATGGTTGGCCTTAATTCATCATATTTGCATATGCCTGATTTAATGGATAATTGCTTTCAGTTCTGCAGGCGCCATGAAGAATACTCCCCTGAAATTATCGTACGTTTATCAATGCACGGGCTGTGATTCTTTTCATCTTCAGCCTATTGGGAGGACCATCTACAAGGTAACAAAAATGACCATTTCTTACCCTGATTAATAGTTCGGTTGTTTTTATTTCCTTCATGTGAATTCTTGAAACTTGAACCATTTTCTAGCGTGCCTTTTTTTTTTTTTTTTTTTTTTTTTTTTTTTTTTTTTTTTTTTTTTAAATTTCTTCTTTCAAGGATGCTTAATAACCCACGTATTAGTATTGTTTTTCATCAGCATCAGCATAAATCATCACATTCTTGCTACCAAGTACCAACCTTTTGTAATAAAACACCTTAACTTGAAACTTTTTGCCCTCATTTTCTGATACGAATTAAAGAATATTCAGAATAATGGCGCTAGCGTGAGATATCTTCCCGGGTTCGGTCCCGTTGTTCCCCAAGAGTGCACCGATTGCGGCAAGAAATTCAACATGGGTGGACCCATATGGTCTGCACCGATTCATGATCAAGAATGGGTGAATTCCATTTTAACAGACGTAAAAACTATGAAGAATTGCTACCCGGCCTTTGATCGGATATCCGCTGTACTAACCACAATTTCCGAGGTATGCCTCCTTATTAGCTGCAAACGAGCCGATCTGAGTTGAACATTGGCCTTATCGAGCAAGATTGATTTTTTTATTTTTCTTACCTGCTCGAGCTCGATTTATGACGCTCGAGATCGACTCGACAAAAGAAGACAGTCGCTCGAGCTCGGCTCGAGATCGGTTGAAATCAAAATGCTCGAAAGATTGCTCGAGCTCGGCTCGAGACTCGAATTTCAATTAAAATTATCATTAAGTACATATATAAAATACTGTAATATTTATATATAAGGGATATTTTAGTAATTCATTACATATCTCGAGCTGCTCGACTTTCCAAAACCTATGCTCGAGATTGGATCGATAACATGCTCGCGAGCCGCTCGGTTCGTTTGCGGCCCTACTCCTTATTTAGTTTCATGTTTCCTTCTTTCTTTTTTTTTTTTTTTTCTTTATTTGGCTTTCAAGGTGAGTAATTACTTATTTATTGGGTGTGTTGTGCAGGAATTACCCGATGTACCACTGTTTTTAAGTTTGCACAATCTGTGTGCAACATTGAAATGCACTTCCCCATCTGCAGTTATATTCCGTTCGGCCGTGATTAATGCCGGTTATCGTATATCGGGTAGCCATGTGAACCCGCTGGGTTTGAAAACAGATGCACCTATGGAAGTCATATGGGATATCATGCGTTGTTGGGTATGAAAGATAGCCGTTTTCTTTTTCTTTTTTTTTTTT